GCGGGATTCCCAAAACCTGAGGACCAGTGGTACCGAGAATATCAATCAGTCTACCCGTCGGGAGCCATCTTTCATACCAGAAAGAAGCAGTGGCGCCATCTCTAACGATACACAGAATGAAAGGAGAAACCTCGTCTCGAAGCTTGAGGAGTTTTCTCCAAATCTAAGAACCCAGCAATCGATCAGGAGCGAGCCAGAAAGTGTGATTTCTAATGAGATTGTGCTTCGTCCACAGAACCCAGAGAGAGGATGAGGCACTGAAAAGATGCCAAATTAGCTTGAAATCAAATACCCTGGAGACATCACGAAGGCGGCGAACACCTAAACCACCTTCTTCTTTCGGTTTGCAGATATCAAGCCAAGCAATCTTCGCACCAATAGAATTATTAGGATTTCCAGACCAGAGGAAAGCACCACAAAGTCTCTCTATTTCGTTCAAGCAACTCATCGGAAGAGGGAATACAACACACCAGAAGTTGACAATGCTCGAGATGACAGAGGTGATAAGTTGTAGACGACCAGCATAAGAGAGATGTTTTGTCGTCCAAGAAAACATCCTCGCACAGATACGGTCCACTAGAGGATTGTAATCCTGTTTCGTCAGCATCTTTGTCGTTAATGGGAGTCCCAAATAGCAAATTGGAAACGAGTAGATAAGGAGGGCCACATATTTTAGTTTGCAGTAACCAATAGTTATAGATAATTCTCTCTTCTTTTTATACGTATTTTCTTTATCCCTTCTTAGTTTCTTCTTACAAAAACATTTAATATATTTTCAACTTTTCATGAGTATAATCATGTTTATTTCATTTTTAACTATCGATTATTATCAACTAAATTATTGTGAATAAAGATAACCCTCTTTCATTTTCAAAAACAGTAATCCATTTTCTTCTTTTAAAATGAATTTTCTTGATTCTTTTTTATCATTTCTATAAAATAATTTTTCTAAAAAAACTTCAAAATTAAATAGATTTATTTTTCAAAAAAAGTAATAGAAACTTATTTTTGATACACCAAATCCATTTTTTTTCTATGTGAAACAAGATACATTCATAACACATGTTAACAGTCAATTAATATCATTTACTATGAAGAATGGAGAGTAATGTTAACTTTGTAGTGAAATGACATTTTTTTTAACGATCACTTACCCAAAACGTTTATTTACTCTAACCACTACAAAAAAAACATCATAATACATCATTTATTTTATTTATTTGTATTATTTATAACTGATGCAAACAAATTTTACATCATTTAAAGAAATAATTCTGAAAGTGGTGATACAAATACTTTATATCAGTTCATTAATAACTGATGTAAATATTTTAAATATTTACATCAATTAGAATAATTGATATCAATATATGTCAATTGTTTTAAGTGATATTAAATTTTACATCAGTTATTATAAATGATATTAATATTTGTATAAAAATGCTATTTTGATATAAATTTTAATTTATTTTTAAAATTCATATAAAATCCGTTTTGTTTTTTTATTAATATAAATATTTTTTGTGAACTCTCATACAATAATTAACTAGAATTATTATTAAAAATATTTTTTTTATGTCGAAGATTTTGGTTGAGGTTAATAAAATCATACGATTATTAACAATGATGAGTTTATTTTATAGAGGAGCAATTCTCTCCTCTCAAGTTCTCCTAACCGATGTGGGACAGATAAGTTTTGACCAAATTAAATTAAATATATTAATTGTTTAATTCAGTTCTTTGTTGGCATCACTTTTTAATTGCTACAAAATTTGCATTATTTATTCAAATGATGTTAATATATACATCAATTATCTAATGATGTAAAATTTGGTTTTGTATCAATATTGTTCAAGTGATGTGATTTAAAATAAATTAGTATCAGTTTTATGCAATCGATGCCATATAAACTAATAATAACATCATTTGTATTAACTGATGTTAATACTGTATAATTTATGTCACTTGTAAATAAATGACTCTAATTAGTATTAATTATTTTTCTGATATAATTTATTTGATGCTATCAACACTTTTTTTGTAGTGAACATACTAATACTTCTGTAGTCATCTACTTAACATTTTGTTATATATTACGTTATAATTTAAAAATAGAATGTTATTACAGTTACTGACTGATGAGGGCCATACTATACATATTTGTTGTTGCCAGATTTTGTTGTAAGAAATCAAAATTTGGCTCTTGTTACAAAAATAGTAATGTTAATTTTGTAGTGAAATGACATTTTTTTTTAACGATCACTTACCCAAAACGTTTATTTACTCTAACATACTAATACTTGTGTAGTCATCTACTTAACATTTTGTCATAGATCACGTTATAATTTAAAAATAGAATGTTATTACAGTTACTGACTTACTATATTTGTTGTTGCCAGATTTTGTTGTAAGAAATCAAAATTTGGCTCTTGTTACAAAATTATGTATATAGTAATAAACTCATCTACTGCAATGGTCAACTATTTGTTTTGTGCTTCTCTAAAGCTTTTGTTGACTCCTCCAAATTCTCTAAGAAGGTAGTGGTTAGTGTGTCATGTACTCAATCTATATATAACCTCAATGTTTGTTACTAAACATTCTCTTCTCCGAATTTCTTACTGGCTAAATTACAGAAAGTGATTGGGATCTTCAATGGCTTTCACGGATGGGAAATGGGTCTAAAGGATTTTTAAAAAGATCGATCAAAAGGATCTGTAGTGAGTTCAAAGGTAGATATAGTGTGTGGATTAAGAATAGAAGTCTTGACACTTTCTTGTTCGATTTTCTCTTTGAAACTAGAGAATATATACTTGCCAAAACAAAAACAGAAAACTGTCTTGGCAACAAATTTTGATTCTCATATATCATTTCGCTCTTAATATTTAGTTTAAAATCAGATTCTCACTGAGTATATATATAAAAAAAAAGACCCTAGTTTTTATTGTATTGAGCTTTTTGGAAGAATTGACCAAAACACTTAATTAAGACTTATACAAGAAATCAAAGAAATTATTCAATGCGGTAACTAAAGTAGACCAAAACAAGAAACCAGATTCATGTCAAACTGTTAACTTCATACGATGGCAAAGATCGCACTCCAATGGTTATAAACCAAATACGAAAAAAAAAAAGATCACACTCCTAGTAAAACCCTAATTATATAACTAAACCCTAATTACCACCAGTACGCTATCTCTCTTGCACGGCGCCTTTCTTGCAAGAACTACAAGCTCTATTTAGGTTTTCTTGTGGGACAGGTTTCTTCACCGAAGTCCTTCGTTTTCTTAGGACGAGATGGAAGTTTCTCTCTTTGGTCTCTTCTTCTTTTTCTTTTTCTTTTTTTTCATCTTCTTCTTCATCATCATCTTCTTCTTCTTCTTCGTCATCCTCATCTTCCTCATCTTCTTCTTCATCTTCTTCTTCTTCTTCATCAGAGAGAGTCTTCGTGTTGCGTTTGGATTTTCCTTTAAGTTTGTTTTCTTCGTATAACCTAGCCTGGGCAGTGGCATCGACCATATTACAAACATCTCTCGAGCTTATTATGTCCCCCTCCACGGCGGCATGATGATACTCGTTAATCGAGTAACATTGTTGAGAGTGTCGTGGGTCAGAGTCAACGGATACCGACGAAAAAGTAGAAGCCCCATTAAGATTTTGATGGCTTTGTTGCTCAGAGTTTCTTCTAGTAACAACCGAGCCTCTTCTGTTCCTCGAGAAGACATGGAAGAATCTCTTGTCGCTCACTTCTTCTTCTTCAGAGAGAATCCTCGTGTTGAATTTGGATTTTGCTTTCTCTTGAAGAAGATGACTACGTTGTTCTTCTTCGTATAACATAGCTGCGGCATCCACCAAGTTACAGAAATTTCTTGAGCTTATGTCCTTCTCCGCAGCTGCGAGATGATCATTGTAATACTTAGCCATTGTTATTGGACCGAAAACTCGAAGTTCTGAAAAGAAAAGAAAAAAAAAGGAAAATTAGAGAGACAGAGTGGGAATAAGCGAAATTGTTAAAGAGAGTGCTCGCAATCTTACATTAAATAATCTCGGCTTAGTCTTACCAAAGAGGAGAGAAATTAGAAATTGTTAATTAGGGGTTTTGAATTAACCAAAGAGAAAAAAAATTAGGAATTGTTAGAGTGTCTTCCTAACTGGAGATGGAGATGGAGATAGAGAGAGACTAAAGAAAATCTAACTCTTGTTAGACTTTATATACGTGATAATCAAACCTTCTCAAAATTTTACTTTTTTTTGGTTCTTTGAATATTTTCCATTTTTTATTACTAACTTTAATTAGAATAGATTACTAAATATACTAACTTTACAGAAAATCAGTAATTTTAATATAATATAATTATTATACGATTCTGATAAAGCCAGATAAATTTTAGCAAATTTTAGCATAATATTAATTAATATATAAGGTGTTACAATCCATAGATTTTATGAATCTTTTTCCAAGATTCAAGTTTTTTTTTTTTTTTTGGTTAAATAAGTTTATTTCTAAATACTTAATTTAAATATGAATTTATCAGTACAGTTTTATGTTGAATCTGGATGCATTACTCGGATGAACAGCCTCAAAAATCTAATGTATGGTATCAAAAATCTAATGTATGGTGAATAAATAATGTAATGATTTTATAAGGCATAAAGTCTAATTTTTTTTTTTGCGAAAAAAATAACAGTCTTATTATTACACGCAGGCTGAAAACTACAGGAATTTTGTCCCTTTTCGTTAGTTTTAAAAAAATATATATATATATATTTGCTAAAATCCTTGCTCGTTAGCTTAGACAAAATTACACCTACTATTGACACCTTGAAACTCTTCTTAAACCACACGAATTTCTTCTGACGTATTCTTTTAACAAACATGTCGATTATTGTATCAACATAGCAAATCTTGAATCAGTGGATAGATTTACTTGATGCATCTCATAGTAAAGAATATTTTCAAGTGTATTATATACTTGATTCATTATTAGGAAACGAATAGAGAATTTTGAATAATAAATAATATAACAAAAAGCATACAAATATAATGAAAAATGCTGATACAAAATTATATGTTGTTCGGGCCGAGCCGACACAGAAGAAGAAAATCAAAGGCAGGAATTTTCATGTCCAAGTAACTCTAATAATATTAATAAAACTAAAAATGATTGAAAGCAAATAACTAGTCTTCGTCGTCAGAATTATCGAATGTGATCTTTGTAGCTTTTGGAGCATCAGCGGCTATTTCTTTGAAATGAGCTCCGTACAGTTTTGATTCCTGCAAGTTTTAATCAAACAAAACACACATAAATCAAACACTCCAGATGAAGAAGAAAAAGCAATGTGTGCGGAGAATCAAGACTGTGGTTTTAGAAAATCAAACCTTTTTCTTTACATGAGTGCCAAACTTCAAAAGATCAGCAGGCACGACTTGTCCAGCTTCTCTGAGAACATTCACAAGTTCTCCGGCAAGAGCCTTAAAGAGACAGAGAGACAGGGAGACACACACACAAAATGTCAAAAAAACTTTGTGAAAAGCAGCTGTTTGAAGAATCTCTGAGAAGATTGTTAAACTAGTTTTACCTTGTTCTGTTGGGTGAAGAACGTGTGTGCAACACCCTTTTTACCTGCTCTTCCTGTCCTCCCGATTCTATGTACATAATCCTCTGTTGTTAGAGGGAAACTGTAGTTTATCACAACTTCCACGTCAGGGATATCAAGCCCTCTTGCTGCTACGTCAGTAGCCACCTGCAATTTATAAACATTAATCAATGCTCTGTTTCAGAACCAGCCAAGGTATTACTATTATAAGCCATGGAGATACGAAATGCTATGAACACGTACCAGCAGCGGACAGGATCCTTCTTTGAACAATGATAAAGACCTGGTACGTTCGCTCTGTGCTTTGTTTCCGTGTATAGATACAGCTTTCCAACCTCTAAATAGTTATGTGAAGATTAGAATCAATGCAACTTATGAGCAAAATCACCTTTTTTTTTTGGTTGAGGTGATTCAGGCATAAAGATCAAACCTTGTCTGAAGAAAACGCTCGAGACGTTCAGCTTCAACCTTGTATAAGGCAAATACCAAAACCCTGTTCCTGTAAATACCACAACGATTGGTATTAGTATGGTGAAAAAGGAAAGATCTTGTAAGGGGTTGGATAAATTGAGCAATAGATTTACTTTTGAGATTTGTGGTATTTTTCTAGTAAAGCGACGAGGCGCTGATCACGGGCACGATCGTCCAAGACCTGCATTATTTGTAACCAAACCAAAGACCTGTTGTTAAGCGTGTGACTAAAGGATAAAACACTACTTGCTCTGGGAATTATCAGAGAGAGAAAATACCTCGATGATTTGCATAACGTCGTGGTTTGCAGCCAAGTCTACAGAACCTATGACTACCTGAAAGAAATTTAAATGACCGTTGGGAAAATCTTGCAACTTTTGAGTTTTGAAGGTGAGAGAGAAGAAAAATTGAGGAGGAAAACATACCTTGACAGGGTTTGGATCCATGAATTCCTGAGCCAATTTGTGAACTTCCACAGGCCAAGTTGCACTGAACATAACCATCTGACGAACTATAAGACAGATAAGTAAGAAAGAATAGAAGAACTCTCATTAAAACTTGTACCGGAATCGAAGAAGATTTATGAGTCAGTTCCTCATCGTTGGGAAACGCTAGATGAAAATGGGATTCAACCACTAACCTTTATTCGTCTTGCTCAATATAAACCGGACTGGTTCCTCGAAACCCATATCAAGCATTCGATCTGCTTCATCCAATACCTGACACATAGGAACATCTGTTACCGTCTAATAACTCGGAAATTCGTATCCAGAACATGCAAGAACGATACAATATTGCATGATCCTAAGGGGGGGAAGTCAAAATAAAATGATTAAAAGATGTTCAGTTGCTTACCACAAAGGAAACATCTGAGAGACGAAGCTCATTAGATTCAATCAGGTCTCTCAAACGACCAGGCGTACCAATGACAATATCCTAAAAGACAAAAAAAGCTTCACTTGATTGATACGCAAACACAAGACAGTGTCTTGATAAAAATGACATAGTAAGAAAGCCTTACAACTCCAGATCGAATTGCGTTAATCTGAGGCCTTTTAGAGCTTCCACCATACACACAAATCGATTTAAGACCACATGGTTCTCCAGCTTCGCTCAAAACATCGGAAATCTATCAAATCATCACCAAAACAAACACAAAGCTAAGAATATGTCTCATTTCACATTCCAACTAATGAATATGGAAGAAACTGGTTATCTACCTGAACAGCTAACTCTCGTGTCGGAGAAAGAACAAGACATATCGGATTCTTTGATCCTTTACCATTCTTATTCTTCTTCATCATGTGCATAATCGCAGGAATCCCAAACGCCAATGTCTTGCCTATAAACCCAAATCATTAAGTTACAATTTTTCAAAACCTTTTCATGCTTCTTCCCACTAATTCTGAAATTAACTAACTAACACAGAGCATTACTAACCTGACCCAGTTTTGGCAATCCCGATAAGATCACGACCATCTAACAAAAACGGCCACGAATGCGACTGAATCGGAGATGGTTTCTGGAATGTCTTACAGCAACTAAGAACATTCTCCGGCAATTTCGATTCAGCGAAAGATGTTAAAGCTGCGTACTTTGCTTCCTCCACACCTTTTCCCGTCACAACAACTTTCTGATCACTCTCTCCTCCGTTGCCAACACCTGAGTCATCAGATTCCGGCTTCTTCTCCGGAATTACATTCTCTTCCTCCTTCTTCTTCTTCTCCTTCTCCATCTCCTTCTCCTCTCTCTTACGCTTCTTCTTTTTCTCTTTATTGCTCAACTCCTCACCATTAGTAACCTCTTGAGGAGCTTCGACCTCTAGATTTTCCTCTGAGTGTTTGTTCTTCTTGCTCTTCTTCTTCTTCTTCTTCTTCTTAATCGTATCTGTCATCGGACTCTCGACGGCTAATGGTTCGCCGGAGACGGGAAGCTCTTGCTTTTGTCCAGCCATTTTCTGTTTTGTTTACGGGGAGAGTTGAAACGGCCGAACGAGAGTCGTTGTTCAATTTAGGTTTTAGGGTTTTAAAGCATCGGAAAGTTATTTTTTCTGAAATTGCAATTTTCCCTAAATATTTTAGTTATTTTCTATAAAAATTTATACTCCTGTTTTATTATCTGATTCTCAATAAACTCTTATTTTATCAAAGTAGACCCCAATATGACCCATTTCAAATCACTGATCCAATCCAAATCAATCCGATTTGAAAAATATCTATACTATAAAACTTAACCAATTCTCTCCAGTTTTGTGCCACGTCATCACTTAAGAGAACGCCATGTGTACACCAAAATTTTAACTGTTGCGCTTTCTTTTTTTTTCTCCCTTCAAGCCTTTTGCAATTCTCAAACGGAATATAAATTTTTCCAAAACCTTCAATTCTCGTGGCATATAAATGTGGAAATGAATCGTCAGATATGTCTCCACCACCGATGTACAAAATCTCAAAGAGAACCTAATTTCAAATCTTAGCTGAGGCATAGCCACGTCAAGCATCTCCCATCGCCAAAGTATCGCTGCTAACGGAGAAGGTTCAGGGATTTCCTCTCATCTTCTCACTTCTGAAAGGTACTCCAATCTATGCCTCTAAAACATGTTCCACCTATTTTACGGTTTCTGATTCAATCTACGATTCACATAACTGAAATTCCGAGAAAGAGTGAAGTCGGACCTCGTGGAACTCTTGCAAATTGGAATGTTTCTGGTAATGATCTCTGTTATTGATCAGGGGTTATTTGTGTTGACGGTAAATTACATATTCTGTAAGTTCCTCTGTTACACTAAGATATGAAGAATGGGATGATTATTGTCTCTATATTCTGACCAATTTTGATTTTTTTTTTTCAGATCTCTGCGTGTTTCTTTAGGGATCTTAGTGGATATACTTTGGAAGGAACGTGAGCTCTTGAGCTTAGCCAATTGAGTAACCTAAGATTAATGTAAGGGATATCTACAATTCCCCTTTTCGGCTTTTGGTTGATTTATGGGACTAAACCACTATTTTTCCTCCATGAACCATTTTTCCGGTTAAATTCTAAAGGAGTATGGGAGTTTCTCAAATCTGGAAGTCCTAGATTTGAGAGGATAAATTACACCTGACCTAAGCAATGAATTCTCTAAAACACTTGTGATTTTAATCTTCCGTACTTAACAAAAATGTACTGTAAATTATGTAACTTTAACCTCCTTAGATTTGAACAAATCCAGGTTGCTTTCTGGTAACAAATTTTCGGGTGATATGAGAATAAAGGTCCTGAGATTTCAATCGCTGTATGAACTCTGGTTAAACAACAGTCCAAAGTACTCTCCTTTTGCTGTTCTTGGCTGTCAAAATGGAAAACTTCGACATTGGTAAGCCCTTTAATACTCTGATTCATCTAAAAAACCATATAAGCTCTGTTTTTGTTTTGTTATTCATCTTCACCGTTATCTTTCTTTGCAGTGTTTCAAGAAACCATTTCATTCGAGTAAAAAAGGGTATAAGCTTTTGTATTCCGGATCAAAGCAACCTCCAGACGTTTCTTGAAAGAATTCCCAAGCAAGCCTCGGATTTCTCATTTCTAACGCAGAAACAAAAGGTTAGTATCTCACGGCTTCAATCTGATTCTTGCAGGTTTTTGGAAGAAGCTGATATTTTCAACACATGAGTTACTCGAGGAGACAAGTAATTTGGCAGCTGACCCTGCTCCTCTGTCTACAAAAAATTTGAACATAACTGAACACGAGAAACTGGAGTCCGAGCTAAGACTAACTACAACACAAGCAGAGCATTGTATCCACCTCTTTGACTCTTACTTAACACCATATTGCCTAATTGATGTATGTCTGTTTATGTAGCATCTATGTGGTATATCGACATCTGAGGGACAACCTAGAGTGAGCATGCAAAGAATGGTCTACAAAGCCATTCGGGAGGAGCGTCAGAACGTAGTTCATGCCGTAGATCAAATGGCAACAAAGACTCCAGAGTCCAGAAGAAGTTTCAAGCTTCAAATTTTTTAAAATCTAAACACTAAAAGCATAGATATCTATTATCTAAACACTAAAGTTTAGGATTCAAATATTAAACATCTTCTTGATCTTCTTAGATTGTAACTAGAAGTTGGGTATGATCTATTAGAAATCAAGGTTTTCCCGCATATTAAGGCCTTGGTTTACATTTTAGTGTCATGCGACTATGTAGTATGTGTGCGTCTATACTCTCGAATAAACATATACCATCATGCTTCCTTGTATGAATACTTATATCTTTCACACTTGCATTATATTAAAGCCATTAATCTTAAAAACTTATAATGGTTGGTTTCGTTGTTTGTTAAAACGACGGTACAAAATGAAAACACAATGGGAGGGACTCAAATTCGGGGGTTTAAGATGAATTTATGGCTACTTAAATGTGGCAAAACAATAAAATTTTATGTGTGCTCCTTCCTCTGCTCTTTGGTACCCAAAACAGCTTTCCCTAATTTTTTTGGTCGCTTTTTTGTTCATTAAGATTGTATGTATATATGTATGCTAAATGGCAATATAGTTGTAAGGAAAATATAGGAATATAGTATTGAAAACGTACAAATTATTTAGAATGTTATATATAATTTTTAATAAATATAAAGATTATTAGTTGACTATTACATTTAAAATGACAACTTTACAACTAAAATCCGCGCATAGCGCGGATACTCACCTAGTAATAATAATAACTAAGGACTTACTCAACGCTTACAATTATGTTAGACAAAAAATGCACTTAGTTTATTTCTTTCAACAGTAGATATGACTCGATATGTTACAAGATTGGTTAAAAAAACTATTTGAAAAATTGGGAATGGAATGTCTCCCATATGGATGCAATGTCATTTAACAATGTTATTCCAAAGCAAGTTGTTGACATTTTTATTAAGGAAAAACTTATAGAGCTTATCAATGGAGATTATGACTTTCTCAGGTGGATTGTTTTACTTCCAAAGCAAGATTTAGGAATTTGGGTGTTGATTATGATACTCCTTGAAACCACTATCGCATAAAACTTTGATATATCTGAATTATGTGATTTGATTAATGTTTTATATGGTGTTTTGGTAAGAAAAATTGATTAGCATGTGAACTAGTGTAGAAATTTGAAATCATCAATCGAGCCAACGATGACCTGCCTATTGTCAACCTAATGAGAAATACATGAATTAGGGTAAAAATTATAATATATTATGAAATTAAACAACTAGAAGAAGGAATAATCATAGTACACAAAGGATGTACAAATGACAACTAACTAGTAAGTTCATAATTTCATATTAGATTATGTCATTCTTACTTTTAATATAGTCCCATTTGTCACTTGAAAGACAATTTTGTATTGAAATATAATGTTTGTTTGCATTGAGTAAAACATATCTTGATCGATGCAAAACGTTAAAGTATAAAGGAAATAGAAGAACATGAAGGATGAAAAAAACTTCGCAATAGCCTTCTAAATAAATATTAATTTATGTGTCAACTGTGATGAAATTCTATGGAATGGGTGATTTTTTTTGGGTATGTAATGGTGTTTTAACAATTGTTTTATTATTGTTAAATAAGTATCTTAGATCCAAGTTCGAGATAAGGTTCCAAATCAACCAGAAGGAAGGGTTGGAGGAATAGAGCATGAATATGTGGAGTTGACTTATTGATGACTTGATGATCATTTGTTTAGGCTTTTTAAGAGAAAAAAGTAGTCAGTTTAATTTTATGTTTTAGTTCTTTTAAAATAATGTAACAGAGTAGTGATTTGAAACATCGATCGAGCCATCGATGACCCACATATTGTCAACGTGATGGATAAATACATGAATTAGGATGAAACAAAAAATCATATTTATAAAAGAACAAAAAGAAGGAAAAAACATAGTGCACACAAAGGATGTACAAATGACAACTACCTAGTAAATTCATGGAGTTTCATATTAGATTATGTCATTCTTATTTTCAACGTAGTCATATTTGTCACTTGAAAAACATTTTGGTATTGAAATATAATGTTTGTTTATTGAGCAAAGCATATCTATTATAGTTTGAAAATAGAAGAACATGAGGGATGGAATAGCTTCGCAATAGCCTTCTATTTTAATATTTATTTAATGTGTCAAATGTGATGAACCTTTATAGAATGGGTGATGACTTCTCTTAACTCTCTTAATTAAGGATTCTAATGAGGAAAAAAATTTGTTAGTAGGTTTGTTATCCAGTTTGGTTTGTTGCTATTTTACTGTTTTTTTTTAGTTTTCTGTGCTAGAGAATGAAACACCTCAAATCCAAGTTCAAGTGAGGGTTCAAGAGCAACCTCAAGGAAGGGTTGGAGAAAATGAGCATGGACATGTGGAGTTTGACGTCTATTAGTGGTTAAAAGATCTTTTGTTTAGATCCTTTTAAATAAAATTGTCTTCTCGATTTTATGTTTTGATTTTTTTTTTAAATAATGAAACTATGACTAAAAAAGACAAACGAATAAATCAAAATATATAAGTGAGTTTTTTGGAAAAAAAAAATACATGAGTTATATGGTAGTGTAAGTTAATACAAATGTATAGGTATTTACTCCTATAAACTAAGTATGTAACATAAGGTTGTGTGGTAAACATAACTCAATAACTCAGTATTAAACTGTAATTTAATGTAAGGTTAAAAAATGTAATTTTAATGTATATATACAGAATTTGCATTGAAGAGATATTTATATTGTTAAATCATTATTGAATAACTATTTGAAAATGAAAGATAAAACCTTTTTAAATTCTGAAGTAAATCCATGGAAAAACTGGTTACAATGTCATTCTCAATACAATTTACCCCAGATTGTATGGGTTAGATTAGTAACCCAAAAATGGAAAAATTTAATAAAGCAAAATTCTCTAGTTCTAAATCCAAGTTTAACTAAAACGGATTCATATAAGAAACATATTTGATCATTTAAAAAAAAAAATGAGGCCAACTTGTTATTAAATCCAAAGCATAATTTCAAAAAAATTATATATATATATATATATATACATATATAATTTTTTTTGCTACCAATCTATTCATTTTACAGAAACTTTTTTGACATGTCTATTGGCTAATTATGTTTTTAATCTATAGGTTTGATTGTAAGTGCACTGATGAATAAATATATATTTATTATCAAATCTAATATGATTTTAGTGTTCTATGAAGAATTGAAGATACAGAAAAAAATATATATGTTTTTGAACATCAGGAACATCAAAACCCCCAAAAAGATTAGTAAAAAACTTAAGACCAACTTTAGAACTAAAATTATTAGAAATGGTGATAGGTGAGCAATTAGGATGGTTTTCCATAAAATTTGCCAATTTGGAATTATATTTGTATATATGTGAGTTATTGGATCAATTAAGTCTCTTAAATTAAAAAAAAGATCTATAAAATGGTCTACTAAATAATAATCAATCCATATATATTCAAAATATATGGACTGACTATATATAGATTAATTATTATTTAAATTAATAAAGTATTTAAATGTTTTAATAAAAAATTAAGTACATTTCTGATTTATGTCTATATTATCTTTAATAATTTTAAAAGATATTTTTATCCTTTGTTATTTCAATTATTTTTATCATTTGTAATGGTATTTTATATAATATTTTACAAAATAATGTTCATTATTTTTTAATATCTATTCATTATTTGTAATGGTATTTTATATAATATTTTATAAGATAATGTTCATTTTTTAAATATCTGCTTAAATAATAATATAAAGATATGCCAGATTTATTAACTTTTTAAATATTTTTAGTTTATTCTAAAATAATAATGAATGTATTATATTTATATACTTGATTAATATCGAATTCTCACAAACCAAACATTATAGTCTTTACTAGGACATACGTATTAAACGTCTAACAGGGTCACATATCCCTACTATTTTTTATTTTTAATATAATTTAAGTAAATTTAATCAAAATATTTTTAATTTAATAATAAAAAAATTGTTTAATTATTTTTTTTTATTTATAAAATTATGCCTCAAATTAAAATTTTAAATAGATTCGCCACTGGTCTCTAGTTGACTAGTAAGTAGGAAATCCATAGAAAAAAATCTTAACTACAATTAGAGATTGGGTGGTTGACAACTTGACATTCATATATTCCATAATCCATACACAAAACACTATTTTATATCTCTAAATTTCGAAGCAAATATTTCTGTTATTTAAACCAGGCTTCGAAATAGGAAATTGACGTATAACAAAATTATCTCTACTCAACAACATTTCTAAAATAATCCCACTACTTTGTTTTAGAATTCTGATATTAGCTGAATGTCTTGTTTTCTTATTCATCAAATAGACACAACATATTATCACGAAAATCTTATTATTAAACAATACTAAATTAGATTTCCCAAATCCAAGAAAAGCTGAAGGACAAGAAAAGAAAAGTAAACGAAACAGAGTGAATGAATGCATAAGTAAAGAAGAATCTGCTTAAGCAAAGCTTTGAAAAGAAAAAGAAAAGAAAGCATTTATCATCCATTCACTTCGCTGTTCTGGAGTTATAAAAGCAACCTTCTTTAAGTGGTTGACAATAAATCAAATCCCCCTTCTTTCTTCATCTTCATCTTCTTCTGCTTCAGAGAATATATATAAAACTCTTGGGATTTCTTAGTTCTTATTAGTTGTTTCATTCTCGGGGAAAATATTCAAAGTCAAAAGATCAAATCTTTCAAGGTCCTAAGAAGATTTCTCTTTAATCAAACCATGGTTGGTATTTTTTCCAGATTCTCTGTTGGTAGAAACAGCCATCGACGAACACAAAGTGCAATCGTAAGCTTTCTTGTTCGAGGAAACTTTTACCTTTTTTTTTCCCTTTTATGGATCGGTTCTTATTGATCATCTGCTCTTGAAGTTCAATCAAATAAAACATGTTTAGATCTTTGCTTAGCTCAAAGTCGGTGTAAAAATCTCGCCTTTACTCGGATTTTAAATCCCAGATTAGATTCTCCAATACTGTTCATGATATGCTTGGAAAAACGTGTTTAGTTTACGTTTCAGATTCGACCAAAGGATTAGTCTTTGTGGTTACTTCGTCACTGATTAATGACTTTATACCTTAAAAGCTTATGAAATGGGTTTTGTTAGATTAGAATGTAACATCTTTTTTTGAGTTATTGAAAATTGTCTCTGTTGAATCAGGACGATAAGGAAGTATTGGCTCCAAATTCTGATGTTACTACAGCAACTACCACAACTGCAACAACTGCTACTCATGGGATTGAAGTAGCTACCGAATTTAAACCGGTGGAACATCCGGTCGAGCCTTTGGACAATGATCAACCGATTCAATGTCCATTGCCTGAACCATCCATTCTAAATGTAACATAGATGGTTCCTTTGTTGATCTAAGTGTAGCTGTTTTATAGAAAGCTCTTAACTTTTTTCTACAGTTGTAACCTTTTTAGTAAATGTTTTTGGGTTTCAATGGAAACAAAACAGGATGGAAGAATATGGAAGGAGAGAGTCTCGGCGTCTATGAGAACGAAAGGTGATTTGCAGATTTTGAAAGATGAATCTGCTGCTGCTGAATCTGATGGATCTGCAACAAAACCGCCTCGTCCGAGCCCGTCGAATCGTTCCATCTTGCCATCACTCAGTGCACCTGAACACAACTTGCTTAATCTATTAGAAGAATGCAATGCGATGCAGCCGGTAACATCTACACAACAAAGTTCCCTGTAAATTTTCAATAGTTTATAAGATTATCATCACACCGATACAAGCTTGTTCCTTCTTGAATCTATGTTTTATTTGCGTGTTTACGCTTTTACTTCTATGTGTGCAAGAACAAAACCAAATCATAGTGTATGTTATATATATTATATAGGCAATTAAGGTTCATTGAGCTTATGCTCTTTATACCAATCTTCTACAATGAAAGGTTCATTGTGCTTATGCTGTTTAGCTACCGAGTTGTTGTTCGTTTCTTCGCAGTTTTAGAAAACCGGTAAGAGCTAGAGTTGTCGAAGCGGTAAGCAGAGAACTTAACTGATCTTGATTCATGTATTTTTAGGATTGTTTTGCCCTTTAGGCTTTAACTTTTGTAGGGTAATCTACATTGAGTTCTCCTCAAGTAAGTTTCACTATATCAGCCTTTTAATGGTAAGAGAGAAAAAGTACTTTTCCAACTCATAAAAACTTTGTTTATCCACTTTGGTTTTTTACTTCAACATGAAGAAAATACATAAGAATCTTTATTTCACTTCTTCTATTGCTTGCAACAACTGCTCTTGTCTAGATCAAATCTTTCTTCCATTCAAACTGAAGATTCAGGAACTGTGTAAACACTTGATCCTGTGGGATTGGCTAGATGTTTCCGTGGCCCACGGTAGCTCCCGTGGTTTATCCTTGCTCTTCGATGCAATCCAACAACCTGTTTTTCTCCAGTGGTTGCGCGGTCCATTGCATTATTGACTCGAGTTCTTGTAGAATCTGCAGAAACCATAAGAAAGTGAAGGATCAAGAGAACAAGAAGAAGAAGAGTTGTTGTAGAAGATGAGAGCTTCAAGTGACCCATTTTACTCTTTGTTTTGTTTTCTTAAATTGGCAGTATGAGTTTGAGAGAGTTGAAATGATGACAATAAATAGAATGCTAAAAAAGATAGAAGAAAGGAGGATAAGAAGAAAATTAAAAACCTTTGCTTTGAATTGAAGTTACTCTCATGACTCACATGATAGTGTTGGTAAAGTTCACCAAACTTCTCCTGCTACTCCTTGATGCTATTATTTAAATATATAAATATCAACAACTTATTCTTTGTCCAAAAAGATCACAACAATTCACTGAATATCTATCGTTCATCTTAAAAGAAAAGGTTTTTCTTTTTCTCTAGACAAATGAACTAACATATTCAAAATTAAGAAAATACACCCTTTTTATGTTTTGTTTAAGACAAATAAAGAATATGAATGAAGAACTTTAACATTTTTTATAGAAAAGTTTACTATAGCACAAACCAGTAGACAAATTTCATCTCAAATATGAATTATGGTTTCTTAAATCTTCCACATTTCATATTTACAAAAAACCTTATTCCATTCAAATAAAAAAATTAACTTTTTTCTCTTCTTCCCACATAAATCTCTCTACTTAAAAAGATAAACAACAAATCATCAATCTCAAAGAGTTTCTTCCGAGAGAGATATACATATTTCAATCCTCCGGTCTAACATACGGCGAAGAACTCATATCCGTACTATAATAAGAATCTTCTCCACCATTCAAGTAACTCTCTTCCTTCTCATCATCCCATTTCAAAACCTCTCTCACATACTTAAACCCTTCATCAACATTCGCACGGTCTCTAGCCCGAGCTTGCCACACAAACAGTTTCTGACCCGTGAGAGACGCGTAAAGAAGCTTAAACTTCATAGCCACGTAGAAGTAAGCTTGGTAAGCCAGAGACTGCACGTTGCTGTTCGTCCTCACGGGACAGAAATCGCCGAACCAATCACAAGAAGTCAACGGCGCACGGTTCAGCTTCTCCTCGAAAAGATCATACTTGTTTAAGATCAAGATAAAAGGCGTGTCTTTGAAGCAAGGATGCTTAACCATCGCCTCGAAAAGCTCCTTGCTTTGAATCATCTTGTTCTTGAAACTCACCGTTCCGCTGCTCTCTGGTGTGATGCTGAACTGGTCGTAATCGCTTAAGCTTATGCAGAAGATGACTGCTCTTACATCTTCGAACATTTCCACCCATTTGCAGCTATCATTCATCCCCTTCGCGTTTACACGGATCAGCTGGTACCTAAAGTGCAAGAAGTTTGATAATAAGTACCAAAAGTTTGCGTTTTCAAGAATGCTTAAAATGATCTTTAACGGATAGTTACTTTGGCTGAGGAGGTGATGAATTAATGTCCTGGTTTTCAGGGTAAGATTCAGACGTTGGACTTTGTTCGTTGAGTGAAAACTCCATGAAAGCTAATCCATTTCCTTGTGTAACACCTTCTGCGAATACAATATCTCGCTCTGATGGCTCATACTCGTTGCTAGACACTTCCATTGCCTGCAAAATGAAGCCTCAAAGTTAACATTTTTAAAATCAATATGAAAACGATAACACTTTTAACTTCTTTTAACATACCCGGCTCAAGAAGTATTCGGAGACATCAGGAAGGAAATGCAGCTCATCTTTTCGTCTATATGTGGCTTGAATCGCAGGATCTTTCCAGACTTCTTCGACCAACGGTGCGTATTCTCGCGTTGCAGCTGGGAAAAACGCGTCGAGATCACCGGTCGCTATGATATCAAGAAGCCAGTCCGAAAAATGTTTCAACCTCGGGTTCAATGTATAGACACACTGCGGAGAAGTGTCGTTTGCTTCCTCGCCTGCAAGAACATGTCAAGAAAATCAAGAAACCGATAAAACGAAGAATTTAAACCGTTTTTTTAAATGCAAGAAAAAATTTGGTACCTCCTGAATCTCCTTCAACTGCGTTTAAACCTCTCATATGAGATAAAGCTTCCTCTTCAAACCGTTCTCTTCCATCGAGTAAGATACTGAGATATCTATACATATTGCTCTGTACCATCAGCTTAATCTCTTGAAGCTCTTCCACAGAAAACTTGTTCCCATACAAAAACTTGGCCTGTTTCACTCAACAAGGAACCTCGATAACTAAGCAGATTTTCATTTTATTTTTTTCCCACGTTACGTCCATTAAAATAACATTACCTGTTTGAATATAGTGCTAGTTCCTGACCCTTCGATACCAAGAAGTAGAAGCTTCTGAATCTTCTTATGCTCTAGATAATTCGGAACAGTAACATAAGTGCTCGATGGTTGTGCCGTTCCACGAGGTTGCCCGTGAGGAACAGGTAAAGAAAACAGCGCACACATGAACCTAGTAGATGCCTGTTTTAAACCAAACCAAATAAACTCAGTGATGTTTCTTTCAAAACACCCACAGTTTATAAGATTCTGATAAAGAGTTTCTTATATTATCTTCTTATATTACCTTCTCCCAAATGTTTCCTCGGATATTATTCTGCCCTTCTTCCTCATAACGCCCATCATCATATACCCAAAAATGAGTATCTCGTGGACATTGTACATTTGCTAGCTGAGATATATACATACACCAATGCAAAGGTTTACATTCGATTGTTTCAGCAAATTTGACACTTAAAAACAAGACAATATCAAAAGGTTACCTTCAAGATCCTTAGTTCAAGCTTTGTGATCTCCCTGCCATTAATATAAACTTCCGTGTTCCCATTGCTTGCTTGTGGACATAACTTCCCAGTAAAGTTCAAGTTCGAGCTTATGACTCTGTCAGGTTTCTCTCCTTCCTGTTCACAACAACAATAATCAACAAAACAAAACGATTTCAACTTCAAAAAGGAAGAAAACCATCATATGTCTATATATATATTACCTTGCCCCATAGACCAGATTCTTTGTCGTACCAATATCTACCAGGTTTCAACTTCTCCGGCGGCAAAGAACAACCGAGCAACTCAGCCATTTCCTCAGGCTTTAACGGATACCCATTCACGATCAGCTGCTCAGGTCTAAGCTGATTAGCTCTACACTCTTTTTCTGCCTTCATTATCTGTTTAACTTCCAAAGGACTAAGCAACCGTGACAATACCCTCGACTGTTTCCCTAACTTAGACCGTTTCGATTCATCTATAGCTTGACCAATGCATCTCACACACTTCCTCCCTTCAGGCATCGAACCCATCGCTCTAAGAACACAGTTTCCACAGTACTTCTCATCACACACAATACAAGTCTCCTTATGTTCCCATTTCGCTTTTCCACATCGATAACACTCTCTGTTCTTCTTCTTCTTCTTCTTCTTCCTCTGTATATTCGTACCCTTAGTGCACTCATGACCTTTCCTCTCCCTCTCCGTCTCTGCCTCCTCCACATAGTTCTCCTCCTCCTCCTCCTCCTCCTCTTCTTCAGCGTCTTTGCTTTCAATCCGATCATTATCATCAACAGGTTTGAATTTCACAACTGGTCTCCGGATCTGATTCCCGTTTTGTCTGTGAGCAGAGACTGGTGAAACAGAAGCTGAGCCAGAGGATGATTCGAGGTTGTTATGCAACACAGAGACCACAGACTCAGAGCTAGCTGGTGAGCCCCTTGGGCTCTGACCTGAAGAGCTTGTGATGACTCCTTCTGCTATACGAGAGACAGGCAATGGGATCGGATTGTTGTGTCGGGGGTTCACATCAACAGGTGAAACTCTAGGGATTTCGTGAACCGGAGGAGGACCGGTGTACTCTATGGCTATGGAGTAATCGAATTCCGATTGGTTTTCCGGTATTGGAGCTCCAGGAGGAAGCATCTTTCTCACCATTTCTTTCCAGCTTTCTCCTTCATCTTTCTCCATAATTTAAACAAACCACCAATAGAAATTACAAGATGAATCCTTAAAACCCAAATCAGATCACCATGTCAAAATTCCAGCCACTAAAGGGGTTTTCTTTTTTTTCCTCTGATTTCAGACAAAAACGAGGTTTCTGGTTCAGACAACAAAGACGATAAAAACAAGAAGAGGTGATTAGGATATTTTATGTGTTACCAATTTGGCTTTAACATCACATATCTATAGAGTATAGACTATAATCAAAGTCAAATAGCCGGCAAAAATGGACGTTTCATGAGGCATTGAAACCTAAAAAAAAAATGTTTTTTAATGCGATTTTGAAAAATTCATGGTCAAATCAATTGTCCGGAAAATAATTCAACATCTAACCAAACCCACTTAAATAAAAATCTCAGCAATCAACGCAGCCTTAGAAATGAAGAGAAACAAAAATACCTAAACAGGGGCAATTATCTCGAACCAACTAATTTCTTGAGAACACATGCAGCCGATTTCAGATTAAGCAAATTCGTGAAATTTGAGAGGAGATTGAAATTTCAGAGTGAATGAAACAAAATGAGTTGTCTGAAAGGGAATACAAAGGCACCAATTAAAGAGACAGAACAAAATAAATCTTTTGTAAAAGAAGATGAAAAAACTTACCTTTTTTTCTAGACACAGCACAAAAGTGTGGAAATAAGCGTGGAGAGAGAGAGAGACAGATTGATTAACAAACAAAAAGTCGAAGCTGAATCTGAGAGGACGAACTCAGAAGAAGAAGTAGGAATCTGTATTGATTCCTGTGATTGTTGTATTTCTGTGAGAAAATCGAGAAAAAGCCGAGAAAATCTGGAGAAAGGAAACTCCAGAGAGACGGTGAAATCTATAGAGAGAGAGATGAATCGAAAAAAAGGACCCACGAGTCTTACATAGTTCGTGACGATGGAGACGGATATGTGAGAGCGCGTGGGTTTTACACGCCCACTTTCTTGCGAGTGGCTCGTATTTTCACGACCAATGTAATAATTTGGTTTCTACTTACACTTTCCCATGCGCATATACGCGCGTGTTGTATCACGCGTCCGTAAAATACACCACAAACGCTCTCCAATGTGCAATGTAATAAATTTACACTCACTGACCCATACTCACACACTTGAGACGTAATAATGTTTTTTGTTTTTATTTTCTCTTGTCAACGTTTACTGTTATTAATCTCTTTCATATTTTGATGAAAATTAGATGAAAAAAAAGTTACTCTCACTACGAAATTGTCTGAAAATCGTTAATAATTGATGAACATTCAAATACAATAACGGTATATGCGCATGAGTGTTGTCGGAAAATGTCTGACTTTTTTCAATATTTGAAAATTTCAATCAGAGCATGTGAGGAAATGACATTATTTGTGTTGTGATGTTTTTGGCCGTATTATTTTGTTCTCCTCTTTAGAATCTCTATTTTCACGTACATATTGAAGTGGATCTTTTGAGTAAGAATGATGTTTTTTCAGACGATGTTTAGATTTCTGATAAGCGCTTTTGATAGAAAGCAGCAGAAAGCAGATTGGATTCGTTTCTTTTAGTGGAGTTGAAATGTCGACAGGAAACAAAGATTGTGTGCCCCAATTAAATGAAATATACATATCTTAGTCAAATTTTGTATTTGATGGCCTACCCATCCTTTTACTTTCACTATTATATAGTAAAAAATGAAACATCTTTGCTCAAAAAAAAAAAAACATGATATAATAACTGTGATGCAGTTCTATCTGAGAGCCGCTTTAACAAAATAAAAACTTCAATGTAATTTAGTGGTTTAACATTCAGTCTGTTGAAGATTAATTCATGGTAAGTGGCTTAGGGAGTCTTATTCAATCATGGTTTTTCTATAGAATTTAAATCCAACCACAATCCACTATTATTCAACTAATGATTGTAAATGATGTTTTCAAAACCAGAGTTATTGGATCTTTTGATTATAAATTATATTTAAGAGATTTTAAAGTTTGATCTTATTCAATGAAGATTTCAAAATTTTCACTATAATCTAGTGTTATTCAAAATTAAATAATTATTATTTTTTTGTATATTAAATCATTTTTTTGGATAACTAGGAGGTTTTGGGCCGAAGTCCATACATCCTTAAGCCCGGACTAGCCTTTAATATTATTATCCGTCCCAGCTGTCACTCGATTACGTGACCTCTTAGATTACCCTAGAATACTTTACCTTTTCAGTCGAGCTATCGACTTTTGGTTAGAGCATCTCCAAAGATAACTTCAAATGTGAGGTTTACCAAACTTCAAATTTGAGGTTGGTCAAACCTCAAATTTGAGGTTTGATAGTGTTTGTCTCAAAAGTCCAAAGGCAAAACTTCAAATTTAATCTCACAAATATTTAAAATATTGCACTATAGTTCTTACTTTGAATCATTATTAATAAAAATTATATAACTTTATAAATAACAAAAAAACATACACTAAAAAATATCATTAACTAAAATTATACTATAAATTTTATGATAAAATAAAACATTATATTATAAGATAAAATATATAAACATAATAATTAAAATACACAAACTAAATTATAAATTATTATATTACACCAAATTATTCAACAAAACTATTTTTATAATGCTCCCAAATATGATCAATCAATGCATTCGGAAGTGCTAAATGAGCTTATTTGTTTTTATCTGTAATATTTATTTTATATTGGTATTTTTAATTTCTGTTTTTAATTTTATTTTATATACAAATATAAAATTTATAAAGATAAATGTAAAATATTTATGAGATATAAAACTGTTTGGATTAGAATGATAAACATAAAAAGTAAAATGATTGTTTATGAAATATATAACTGTGAGGACTAAAATGCAAAAAAAAAAACTGCAAACCTCAAATTTGAGGATTTGAATAGTGAAACTTCAAATATAAGGTTTTACTGTTCAAAACTTCAAAATAAGTTGCTTTTGGAGTGAACAAAACTTTATATTTGAAGATTTAAGGTTGTCTTTGGAGATGTTTTTAAATTAAGTCATTTCAAATTATTTCTAACAGAGTTTTATGAGTAAATTACTAGAGTTAAAATATAATGTATATTGCAGAATAAACAAATGAATTCATAAAAATGATATCAACTTTTAAATCTAGAAAATTATAAAACCTAAAAAATTCATTTTAAATTCATGATTGAATGACACCTCCTTAGTTAATGACCTGAATTCAAATCCTAAAATGTGAGTTAAAATATGGTTGACCACTTGCATATGCTGTAAATAGCAAAAAAAAAATTCAGATTTCATGTCCCGATTATATTAGTTTGGGTTTTGGCTTGGAATTCCACTATTTGGTGATCTCTAACATGTATGCACAAGCTCAAATGTGGGAAGATGTAGCCAAAGCTCAATTTATTTAATTTTAAATATTTTTTATATATTAAATTTTTTTCCTTAGAAAAAGTAATAAATACCATAAAAATTTATGTAACTAATGAAATTATTTGTTATATCTATATACTTATTTGTGTAGTGATTTGCTTACGTATCATGTTCATAGCGAGTTTCACAACTTTTCGCTTACGTGTCAGCTCTAAAATGAGTTTCGACTGCAAAAAGACCTTTTAATCCTATTTAACAATTACATATTATTTTTTAATTGGTTCCTAACTGATGAGATGTAAAAAAATTAAAATAAACCAGTTTAAATTAATATGGTTTAATACTTAATTCCGTAATCAACCAAACCGTTTTTGAAATTATATAAAACCGAAATTTAGAATTTTTTTTTTAAAAAAACGTTTTTCTAAAAAATAATAAAAAATTTATATATCTTACTGTTTACCATAAAATATTTTTATGTTTCCAAATTTAAAGAACATCTAACAAAAGTGTTAAAACAAACAAAAAATAAAATCTATTTAAAAAGCTATAAAATGTCATTTTTGAAATTATATACAACCAAAATTTAGAAAAAAAATTAAAATAAAAACGTTTTGCAGCGAATTTCACAGCTTTTCGCTTACGTGTCAGCTCCAAAATGAATTTCGACTATAAACAGACCATTTAGCACTATTTTGCAATTACATGTCATTTTTTTATTGATTCTTATCTGATGATGTGTAAAAAAACTTTAAAAAAATCGGTCTAAATATTAATGTTTAATTTTATAGTCAAATTAAACTGTTTTTAAAACTATATATAACCAAAATTAAAAAAAAATTAACAAAAACATTTTTTTTATAAAAAAGTAGAATCTATATTTTTTAGTATTTACCATTTTTTATGTTTCCGAAATTTAAAAAAAAAAGCTAACAAAAATGTTAAAAGAAACAAAAAAGGAAACTTTTTAAAAAGTAATAAATGTCGTTTCAAAAAAAAACTGAAATTTTTAAAAAATTAACAAAAAATTTAGAAAAAATATATATGTACAGTATATCTAACTAATGGAATGACGGTATTTGTGATGTTTAAACACACATAGAACAGTGATCAAAATCCAATAAGTTCATACGAACATTCAAAAAGTTACGTCTAAAATACATTGAACAGTGATCAAAAGATCTCAAAAGTATTTAAACTAAATTATTTGGATACTACTATGTTTCTTTTCTATTTTATACTGTTTTCACGATCATGTCTTTTAACATTAAAATGCAAAGAAATCTAACAAACAAATAGACTCACGAAGAAAAATCAATGAATCTAAACTATTATTACATTTTTTCAAATAATCAAGTAGAAATTATATTAATCCGCGCAAGACGCAGAAAAGTTAACTAATTATAATTTTATACGTGGTTGATAGAGCATGAATCGGGGTTTTTATCGACAAGTTATTAAACAACCACAAAAATTAAAAAAAAAAAAAAAAAAAGGGAAATTTGTTATATAATTGTCCCACATCGACAATTACTAAGAAAGAAGAATCTGAAATCTCATATATATAAATACAGGGTGTCGTGCTCACACCTCTAAACATCGAGCAAGCCTCAATGAAAAGTCCAGTAGGACGAGGCCCAATGATTAAATTTAAACCGGTTGAACCGGCAGTTAGCCGGGTTTAATAATTTAATCGGGTGGTAAACCCCGGTTCAAAGTCGGTCTTTGATTAATTTGACTAATTTGGTTAAAATTGCGGTGGTATGGTAGCGCCGCCGAGCGTCTAATTGGCCGGTTAATGGATTAGGTATCGAATTTTTAGAACACAGACACATTTCTCCATGAATAAACCCACCACTTAAGTAAATTTTATTACATCATCAATGGCGATGAAATGTAGTCGCCATTTTTGCCCAACCATTATCACGAAGACGAAGCTTGTCTACTCATTTCAAAGCTCCTTCTACTTCTGCTTTTTAAAGTACAGTTCATCAGTTTCAATAGGTCCCCGAAACAGTATAATTGCCTCTGCGTCGAATAGTGATCAAACCCAATCGAAAAGATTTAGCTTTTCTCCTGTAAGCAAGCTAAAAAGTAGTAATAGGGGTTGTCCTGGAGAATGGTTAGAGAATTGGAACAGAACCCAGAAACAGAATCAACTGAAACCTCCAAAGATAGTTGTAAATTACCGAAAAGAAGGGAGATTTTCTGGGTTAGGCTTCACAAGTGATGAAGCTACTAGTAGAGATAGTGATGGTAGAACAATGGAGAAGATTGTAGAGAAGTTGAAAAAATATGGATACATGGAAGGTGATGAGAATAAAGAAGTTGAGCAAGAGAGAAGGATCGAGAAAGGATCAGTGGAGGATATATTTTATGTTGAAGAAGGGAATTTCCCAAATACAAGAGGTGGATTCAGTGAAGAATCATTGCTTGGTAGAGAAAATGTGTTTGAAAACAATGGAGAAGTGGAGATTCCTTGGGAGAAGATAAGTGCCAAGGAGAGGAAGGAGCTGGAATCGGAGTGGACTGTGAAGAAAGAGAGTAGATACTCGTTGGCGGAAATGACTCTTTCGGAACCGGAGCTAAGGAGGTTGAGGAACTTGACGTTTAGAACAACGAGCAATATGAAGATTCGAGGAGCAGGTGTGACTCAGGTGGTAGTGGATTCGATTAAAGAGAAGTGGAAGACCTCAGAGATTGTGAGATTGAAGATTGAAGGAGCAAGTACGCTTAACATGAGAAAGATGCACGAGATAGTAGAGGTTTGCTTCTTATGAGCCCCTGAATAAGAGTATTTTGTTGCATTAGGCTTGTCAGATTTTATCAAAGTCTTTTCCTTTATCTTGTGGTAGAGAAAAACTGGTGGTTTGGTGATTTGGAGGTCCGGGACTTCCATTTCTTTGTACAGAGGTGTCACTTACGAGCTTCCAGCAGGAAAATGGAACAAGCAAAAAAGAGAGGAGACATTACCTTCTTCCTCACCTGAAACTACAAATATGGTTGCTAATAGTGATGAACAAGCGCATCTTCCTCAACTAGACCAGGGGACAACTAGTGTGGCAAAGAAAGACCAGACATCTCAACAAGAAGTAGAATATGAAGATGAAATTGATGAACTGTTAGATGGTCTTGGTCCTAGGTTCATGGACTGGACTGGAGATAATCCATTACCTATAGATGCTGATTTGCTTCCAGGCGCCATTCCTGGTTACGAACCACCTTTCAGGGTACTTCCTTATGGAGTGAGATCATCTCTGGGACCAAAAGAGGCAACAGCTTTGAGAAGACTTGCTAGATTTCTTCCTCCTCACTTTGCTTTAGGTATAATTGTTTTTTCATTTTTTTGACTTCTTCAGAGAGCCTGATATAGTCTTTGAAGAGTAGGAGTATCTTTTGATTTCCAGGTCGAAGTAGGCAGCTCCAAGGCTTGGCAACAGCAATGGTTAAGTTATGGGAAAAGAGTATGCTTGCAAAGATTGCGTTTAAACGTGGCGTACAATTAACCACCAGTGAGAGAATGGCCGAAGATCTCAAGGTGATAAGGATTCCCGTACTATTTAAAAATTTATGCTCGTTTTATCTTTTATCTGCAGTGGAGAAGCTCAAATATTTGATATCATGTTCTTGGTAAGTAACTGCAGAAGTTGACAGGAGGCGTAATGCTCTCTAGGAACAAAGACTTCTTAGTTTTCTACAGAGGAAAGAACTTTTTATCTCGAGAAGTAGCTGATGCATTGGTGGAGCAGGAAAGATTTGCAAGGAATTTGCAAGACAATGAAGAACAGGCACGGTTAAGAGGATTTTCGGCTCTGATTGTCCCAAGTACTGAGCCTACAAATAAATTTGTTTTTGCTGGTACTCTAGGTGAAACTCTTGACGCGACTGGTAAGTGGGGAAAGAATCTGGATGATGATCATCCTGCAGAGGAAGTAAAACAAGAGGTTGAGAAATTGAGGCATCAAAATCTTGTCAAGAAGCTGGAAAAGAAACTTGCTTTTGTAAGTTCTTTACTTAACCCTTGTTTCTTTGCTCCCTTCCTGTGAAATTAGATTCGCATACGAGTTGTTCCTTAAATTAATCGGATGGTTTCCTCGGCATTAGGCTGAGAGAAGGCTGTTGAAAGCTGAACGTAGTTTAGCTAAGGTGGAAGAGTTTCTAAAGCCAGCGGAGCAGAGAGCTGACCAAGAGAGCATAACTGATGAAGAGAGATTTATGTTCCGCAAGCTCGGTTTGAAGATGAAAGCATTCTTACTTCTAGGTAAGTCATCAATAACAGATGTGTCATGTGTGTAGTGTTTTGCATATTTTCGGTTTGAAGAAACTTGAAAATGTTGCTTCAGGTAGGCGAGGAGTGTTTGATGGTAGGGTTGAGAACATGCACTTACACTGGAAATACAGAGAGCTGGTCAAAATTATAGTGAAGGCTAAAACTTTTGACGGTGTAAAGAAAGTAGCATTAGCTCTTGAAGCCGAGAGTGGCGGTATCCTGGTTTCTATTGACAAGGTCTCAAAAGGTTATGCCATTATCGTGTACAGAGGAAAAGACTACAAGCGTCCTCCCATGTTGAGGCCAAAGAACCTTCTGACAAAGAGGAAGGCTTTAGCACGTTCCATTGAGCTCCAAAGACGCGAGGTTTGTTGATATAAAAACCATCATCGTTTTTCTTATCTGGAACTTGTTTAACTAATTTGTATTCTGCTTGCAGAGTCTTATAAAACACATTTCAGCTATACATGCAAGGGCAGAACAGCTGAGAGCTGAAATTGTAATGGATCTAACTTCTTTTATATTGGCTTTTGTTTTATTTTTCTTTTATATCATTCATTCATTGATAAAACAAAAGAATGCAGTGGGTAACTAATGGTTGGCTAACTTGGAATCCTGCAATTATTCTACCAGGAACTGATAGAGAAAGTAGGAGACAAGGGAGATGAAGAGTTGTACAACAAGCTTGATGTGGCTTATGCTTCTAGCTATGAGGAGACATAAGAAGCAGAGGAGGTTCTGGGGGTAGAAGACCATCTTGGGTGCTTCGAATTTAAAATATATTTAGGAGCCTTTCTGTATAAAGACTAGTTGGTTAAGATGATCTATAGAAAATGTATCATATTATTTACTAGTGATCATCATATTTCTCATATTTTTTTTGTATTTTATCTTTAATCAAATTAGTTTTTTCTAAACAAAAAATTGAAAATATAAACAAACAAAACAAACACTATATCGTCGTCCACCTTTCAATTTAAGTCTATTAATATATTCAGAATACATAAAAACGCTTTTATATTCTAACTTACAATTTGAAACCTAAATATATTCTCTCAAGTTCATCTTATAAAGTTAAACTAGTTTTAATCTGAATCAAATCAAACCAAAGACTACTCGACAGGTTCATAATATTTTTTTTTCGTTAACACATTAACCTTTAGTAAATGTTGTTTACATAATCAAATTGTAACTTTGGTTTATAAAATGTTTGTGAAACTTTGAAATATAGGTTTTATCTAACAAAATTGAAATTTATTTATTACAAAAACTTATTAAGACTTATTTATGGATTAGTTTTCTTTACACAATCTACTTAAAACTGAATAAACTAATTAACCAAACAATAATTTCATCCGACATGCGTATTTTTTATTTTCCAATGGATTTCCATCCTAGATACATGTGAGATAAAGGTAAAATAGTATCTCTCTAAAAAACATACAGTATTACATATTTTCCAACCAAAGCGGGTTTAGATATAAATTCATCTAGCATGTACTTGAAGTGTTTGAGTTTATAAAATTTTGGAGGACCAATTGTTTCACATGTTTATTGTTTGATATAGGTAAGTAAAGTTGGAGGGTGATCAATTTTGTACGATTATAATTTTTTTCTTGCAACTAGTTTTTTTTTAAAAAATCTTAGGGAAGACTCTATGTAAATGTTCGTCTACATAATTAATGTTAAATATAGATAACTCTGTTTTGTATAGTTTTGATGTTGACAAATGCGTGTTGAAGGTTGTTTGATCCACATAATGAATGAACAGAAGCTCTTTTAATTAAATATAAATAAACAATATATTAATGAAATTATCAAAACATACAGAAAACTATTTTAGAGATATAGAACACCATAATATAGAAAAATTCAACTAAAAGAAGAAGAAAATAATAAAAATCTTAGATTCTTCTCAACGGCTCTAATTAACAATAAAAGAAAAAGAAACGTAAATAAATTTCTGATTAAGGATCTGGCCTCTTCTTAGCCATGCTTTATAAAAACACTATCCCATAACAGCAATGGCAATGATTAAAAGTAGTAAAAGAACAACAAATATTATCAAACCCATAGCCTCTGACATTCTCTTTTTCAAAGATCTAAATTTAGCTTCCTCTTGCCTGTGTTTTCTATAATCAAAATTTGAATGATACTATAGAGAAAGAAGAGGACTATATACAGTATATATATATATATTATTTTTTTAGTATTGAAAAACCCTTAACTAGAAAGGGAAAAAATGGTTAATTCTTGAGATTAAGGAAGTTTTATGTTATAGAGAAAAGGAATATAATCACGTTGTGTTTATTTGGTTCAATAGATACCATTTGTTCTACTAAAATTTTACTTTTACAATTCTTCAAACAAATATATACTAGATCAATTCAAAATGATGAACAATATTTCATATTGTATTATATGTATCATCCATGATCTATCCTTACTCTCCACGTTTTTATACAAAAAAATTTAGCTAGAAAAGAAAAATGAAAAGAAATTAATTGTTGAGATTAAGGAAATTTTACGTCATAGAGGACAAGAATATAAACTACATTGTGTTTATTTGGTTCAATAGTTACTAGAAGCAAAACTCCAATATCCCATGCATCTTGGATAGATATGTAAACAATTCTTAACTAGAAGCAAACCTCCAATATCTCATGCATCTTGGATAGAGATGTAAACAATCTAAGTTTTATAAATTAATGAAATGTAAAAAATCCAAGTTTCATAGTTAATGAAATGAAAATAATACATTCATAAATAAAGCTAACTAGATTTTGTTTCATATTCATTCCCGTTTTTTTTTTTTTGCTTTCATACTTCGTTTTTTTTTTGCTTTCATACTTCGTTTTTTTTTTCTTTCTTTTCTTAGAACTTATATCCTTTTTACATAATAAAATTTTTTAATACATAAATGTTTATGTACTTATTAATACTTTATTATATATGTATGAAGAATTATCGTTTGATCCACATAATGAATGAACACAAACTCTTTCATATAAATAAACCAATTTATTAATGAAAATATCAAAACATACTAATTTGTTTCAGAAAGATAAAACATTATAATATGGAAAAACACAATCTTAGTTGCATAAATAAAAAACGTAAATAATTTTCTGATCATTTAACAGGATCCGGCCTCTTAAGACCCTGCAGGAACCCTCCTCTTAAGACCCTCACAATGTAACCATACAGCTAAGGCAATGCCAATGATTACAGCGACAGCGGCTCCCAATTGAATCCAAATGTCCATCTCTTTTTCAGAGATCCTACTTTAGCTTCCTCTTGCCTGTGTTTTTTGTTTTTGTAATCAAAATTTGAAAGACAAGTGATGAGGAGGAATTGTATAATATATATAAAGATAGCAGAAGACTATATATATATATATATATTGGATAATATTTTAGTTTAGAAAAATTAAAAGTTAATTAGAAAGAAAAGAAAAAGTTAATTGTTGAGACTAAGAAAATTTTACATCATAGAGGAAAGGAATATACAGTAAAACCTCTATAAATTAATAATGTCATGACCATGATATTTTATTAATTTATTGTGATATTAATTTATCTATAAATTAATAATTATTAATTTATAGAGAAAAATTTGCTTTCCGCTTATAATTTTCTAAATATTTCTTTGGAATAATGTTATATTTTAAAACTTTGACAAATTTCGTAATGTAAATTATGTTTAACAATCATAACTATCGCAATAAAATAGTTTTTAATACCATATTGAATTATCCATGTAAAAATATACATGTTCATAAGTTTAAAATTTATAAAAAGACTATGGTTACTATCCGTATTATTGATGATAAAATTGAAGATATCACTACAATACATTTAAAAACATTTACAGATAAGAAAATCAATTATCACACTAAAAGTTATCATAAATTTTGAATGTATATCGTAAAACATCAATAAAAGCTACTGATATAATAATTAAATAAATAAGATCCAATGAGATTTCAACCTTAAGTAAAAGCAAACACATTAGTCATATTTTAAAATACTATATTTACATATATTTGTATAAATATATATAAGTATTAATTTATGTTTTTGTTGGGACCATATATTTACATAGGGATTTCAAAAAAATTATTATCTTATTATCTTATCGAATTTGATGAATTTTTACATTGGCCCAACTTGGGACCAGTAAAATTTATTAATTTATAGTGATTATTAATTTATCGAATATTAATTTATAGAGGTTTTACTGTAACTACATTGTGTTTATATGGCTCCATATTTACCATTTCCTCTACTAATAACTTCTTTTTTATTTCTTAAGACGAATATATACTAAATCAGTAAAAATTATGAATAATATATCATATTGTAATATGTATCATCCGTTCTTCCTCTCCACGTATTATAGAAAAATGTATATATGCTAGAATGAAAGAAAAAAAAGTTAATAGTTGAGATTAAGAAATTTTACTTCATAGAGGAAAGGAATATAAACTATACTTTGTGTTTAGTTGGTTCAATAGTTACCATTTCTCTACTAACACGAATATATACTAAATCTATAAAAATGAAGAAAAATATAGTAACACACTTTTTTGAATGTACTGCGTCAAATAGGCAAACCATTCATCGGAACACATGTTTTCGTTAAAGTAAGGTTGAGAAGAGCTCAATATACAGTATGTATATAGCCAACATATGGCAATACATTGTATTGCAATAGGATGCTCTGGTTTAACTCAACCGGTACAATTATTTGGTTCAAACCAACGGTTTAGAGAATAAGACGATGATTTCAAGACCGTTCAAATCTGGGAGCTTTGCTAAGACACACTTTGCTAAGACGATTCGCCACCAGATCAATAAAAATGACGAAAAAATATGTCATATTGTAGTATATGAATCATCCATATAATCCAATTTCAAACACTCCGATAATCCAAGTAAAACACTTCATTGGAGGTTTGCATTAGGCTTGTCTTACCTATAGAAAGGGTCATAAGCACAAACTTTTTGTCAAATGCCTTTTCCTTTATCTTGGCCAAATAAGGATTCTAGTTCTATGGAAAATATTAAAATAAAATTGAAAGGGAATTGATTGCTAAATAATTCTCCACGAAAATTGAGTATAAGATGCAACAAAACGTCTAAATAAGCTCCACAGTCTTAGGCTGCATTACAAGAAATACAAGACCAGATTTCAGCCCTGGCTCAAGATTACTATCTCTTCATGTTGCTTTCAACACTAAATATGCTCATCCCAACGCAGTTACAAGAAGAAAACACAACCACTCACAATGCATATACTTTAAAATAACTCTCAGTTTATATTATTATCCACTTGAGGGGACTGAGTTCTCTGAAAACCGTTGAGACTTGAGAAGTAATTAACATTCGAAATCCAAGTATGCGCATGAGTGTTGTCAAAAAAATGTCTGACTATTTTCAATATTTGAAATTTTAATCAGAGCATGTGAGGATATGACATTATTTGTGTTGTGACGTTTTTGGCCGTATTATTTTGTTCTCCTGAGCAAAAATGCCGTTTTTTAGACGATGTTTAGATTTCTGATGAGTACATTTGATAGAAAGCAGAATGGATTCGTTTTTTATTTTTGTAGTGGAGTTGAAATGTCGATAGGAAACAAAGATTGTGAAAAAAAAAAGAAACAAAGATTGTGTGCCCCAAATAAATGAAATATATTTATCTTAGTCAATTTTGTATTTGATGGCTGACCCATCCTTTTACTTTCACTATTATATCGTAAAAAAATGAAACATTATAAACATATACATGATATAATAATCGTGATTCCAGTCGGTTAAAGATTAAAAACTAGTTTGAGTAGCTTGGTTCTGAACTA